CACTCTTGCAACTGTATTCAGATGGAGTTTGGCTGGGGCTGCAGATCCAAGAAGACCTCACTCAGATTTCTGAATGTTATGCTCGCTGGCTAGGGCACCTTGCTCTTCCTTCACTCCCGTAGTCTAGACTGGCTTCCTTATAGCACAGTAAATGGGTTCCCAGGGGAAACATTTCAAGAGGACAAGCGTCAGTGTGCAAGCACTTAGCAAGCCTCTTCTTGCATCGTGCTTGCTGATATCCCATTGACGAAAGCAGGTCCGCTGCCAAGCCCAGAGAATTGACCAAGTGTGTGAATACTGGGGGTCATGTTCATGGAGGGCTACCTGGTTAATAGATTCCTACTTCATTTATACTAATTATGTACACCTCCAAGCCTTAAGGCAAAATTCCTCACATTAGTGAAATTTTATTCATTCTGAAAGAGCTTTTACACTCAATGTAACAGCTAACAGCTCTAAAATCAATTGTTTTTTACTTATTATAACAAAATCCTTTTAACATTTAGTGATCACTGCAGTTCTCTAGATAGGCAAGTATCTTGATTTTAGATATTTAATATATGTTTACCATATCCTGTGCTAAGTGATCTGGAGAAAAAAATGATTCTGACTTCACTCTATATATCTTTTTTTTTTTCATCCTCACCCGAGGATATTTTTCTATTTATCTTCGGATAAAGTGGAAGGGAGAGAAAGGGAGAGAGAGAAACATCGATGTGAGAGAGACACATCGACTGGTCGCCTCCCACACAACCCCAACCAGGGCCGGGAACCAAACCACAACCTAGGCACCTGCCCTTGACTGGAATCAAAACCAAGACTCATTGATCCACAGGCCGACACTCTACTGCTGAACTAAAACGGCCAGGGTTGTATATAACTTTTTTATAGAAATCTATAGTTTTTACTTGGAAAAACAAAAGCTTAACCTATTCAAAAAAGCAAAATATAATTTTGAAATTCTTTAGACTCAAATCAAACTGAACAATATTAACCAAATATCAAATTACTACCATAATCACACATAGCTATACAACTTACTCCAAAGAACCTTAGAACGCATTTTGAATGTAAACTCTTTTTTTTATCCTCATCCGAGGACATTTCTGCATTTATCTTCAGATAGAGCAGGAGAGAAAGAGGGAGCAAGAGAAACATCAATGTGAGAGAGACACATCGAGTGGCTGCCACCCACACGACCCCAGCTGGGGCCAGGGACAAATTGCAACCGAGGTACGTGCCCTTACTAGGAACCAAACCAGGGACTCTCTGGTCCGTGGGCCGATGTTCTAACTGCTGAGCCAAATTAGTAATTTTTGCTACTTCATCAAGGTAATTCTTATGTAAAACTAGCATTTAAAAAAAAAAACAGATGCCCGATGGGTGTGGCTCAGTGGATTGAGCTTTATCCCATGAACTGAGAGGTCCCAGTTCAATTCCCAGTCAGGGCACATACCTGGGTTGCAGGCTTGGTTCCCAGTAGGGGGCAGCAGAAGGCAGCCAATCAATGTATCACTCTCACATTTATGTTTCTCTCTCTCCTTTCCTCTCTCTAAAAAATCAATAAGAGCATACTTTAGCCCTGGCCAGTTTGGCTCAGCAGTTAAGAGCATCGGCCCGCGGACCAATGTGTCACAGGCTCAATTCTGGTCAAGGGCACATCCCTTGGTTGAGGTTTGTCCCTGGCTCTGGTCAGGGTTGTGCAGGAGGCAGCCAGTCGATGTGTCTCTCTAACATTGATGTATCTCTCTCTCTCTCGTTCTCTCTCTTTTCTTCTCTCCTTCCCTCCCTCCCACTCTATCTGAAGATAGACAGAAAAATATCCTGAGGTGAGGAAGGAAGGAAGGACGGAAGGAAGGAAGGACGGACGGACAGGGAGCACATGTACTGTGACTACTAGTACAGAAAGGTACATTGCCTTAATTCATACTGAAGGGTCAGCATATTTACGCACCATTGCTTTTGCACTATTAGTTCAAATGTGTACATGGCAAAAGAAGACATTACAATAATATTATAAAAATATACAAATTGGTAGTTACAAAACAGCCATGGGGTATAAAGTACAGCATAGGAAATACAGTCAATAATATTGTAATAACTATGTATGATGCCATATGGGTACTAGAATTATTGGGGGGGGGTCACTTTATAAATTATATAATTGTCTGAACCCTATTCTGTATATCTAAAACTAATATAAAATAATATTGAATGTCAACTGTAACTTTAAAAAAAATTTTTTTAAGATAATGTCTCCCTCCCTGTTAAAGGTTAAGCAGGTTCCTAAGCTCAGGGTTTCTCAGCTGTAACATAAATGCACCGTGCACCCAGCACTCCACATCACCCTCAAGCATTTGGAGAGAAAGGAATCAGTGTGAACATGAAGCTCAAGCTGTCTGCCGTGCTTTGTCTTTGACCCAGGAGTCCTGTGCCCTCTGCCAACATCTATGGAACTCTGCCAGGCTAACATGTTAGCTTGTGAGCAGGGTACAATAGTGGACCCTCTGCAGTTCTTGACCGTGAACCCTATCACCTGGCTCCTTTGAGCTCCCATGCCATAGAAACAAACATTTTGCCAGGAGCCAAGGGGATATCAGTACTCTCATGGAAAGAAGTCCAAGTTAAGATTGGAGGAGGGCCCACTACTGGCTCAAACTCTTCACTGACAGACTGGCTTACCCACCTGATAAGGAAGAATCATACTATGAGATACTGATGAAACACAAAGGAAACATGGCCTAGCTAGTGGAAGAAAAAAGTCTAAATACCAACTATGACCAGGTGACCAGGTGCAAATATGAGAAGAGATATAGCTTACATAATGTCTTCCTTGCTTTGATATTTATATTTACCCTCTCCTCCAAATATTTTATATAAGATGGGTCAGTGGTAGTTAAATGTAGAATTTCATCATTCAGGCATAGGATCTCGACAGAGAGTGAATACATCTTCCCTTGTATGTACAATAGTTGTAACAGGTTAGATAGAAAAATGTTTTATTTCAAGTGTTTGAAAATGTAAATACAGGTAGAATGCTGTGGATATAGGTAGACTGACTGTGCTGTTGATACTCAGCCCTGCCTGCCCTTCTAAGCAGGGGCTGGTAACTCTAACACCATTTCTCAGATTCCCTTATCTGAAGGGTTCTGATTTAGACTCTACCAATGAGAGGCAAAAGGAATTAGATGGCAAAAGGAGAAACTATTATTCATCTCTGGCAGCAGCTGAGAGACACAAGGGCATACAGCAAACACCGGTCTGCAGCAGCTTCCAAGGGAGCTCCTGGGAGACATTCACTTTAATGTTGCCAGCAGATCGGGTCACTTGAAGCAGCGTCCTGTGAGTCTAGCACTTTTTGATTTTCTCAAAGCAAAGCAGTCTCTTTGACCTTCACTATCCCAGGTCTTTCAATGGTGTGGTAAGCATTTAGTTGATTTACTTTATTAAATTTGTTCTTGCCAAAATACCCAGGGTGTTTTCTGTTTTCCTGACTGACACACATGGGCAGCATTTGGTCAGGTGGAGATTAGAGTGGGGAAGAGAAGCAGGACACAATGTATGAAGGTTAAAATGGAAAAAAAGTTGGACAAGTGGGTCAGAACTATACTAAGTAGGGTCTAGGAGGAGAAAGATAATACACAAAAATAGAATCTATTAAGTTGTACTAAGTGCTTTGTAGAAATTCCAAGTAGTGTAAGGGGGAAGGTGTTGTTTCCTATAAGGTGGTCCAGGGAAGCCTCCTTGAGCAGAGATCTAAGAGAGCAGACAGAGAGCAGAGAGCCAGGGAGGGCTGGGCTCTGTGTATTCAGGGAACAGCAGGAAGGCTAGTATGGTTGAACTGAAGCAGGAAGAGCAGATCACACAGGGGCCTTACCACACGATAGTGAGCATACATGGCAACGGGAACTTTCGTAAGTTGTTGATGCAAGTATAAAATAGTACAACCACAGTGACAACAGATTGGGCATTTCTTATAAACTTAAATATATATCTAGTAATTCCACTCCTAAGTGTGTACCCAAGGAAATTAAAACATATGTTCAAGCATTGTACAAGAATGTTCTTAGCAGTTTTATTCATTAATAGCCAAAAACTGAAAAACCACCCAAATGTCTACCAATAGACTAAAAACTGGTATGTTCATACTACTGAATAATACTCAGCAATAAAAAAGAATGAACTACTGACATATACTACAACATCAATGAAGCTAAGCTACGTTATGTTGAGTTTAAGAAGCTACTTGGCAAAAAACTACAAATTATATAATTCCATTCATATGAAATTCTAGAAAAGGCAAAATTAAACTACAGTGAGTAACTAGAACAACCGTTTCCTAGCTGTGGAATAGGGGGTATTAACTAAAAAATAGATACAAGTAAATTTGTGGGGTGAGGAAAATGGTCTATGTTTTTGTTTTTTAATGTTTTTATTGACTTTTTTAGAGAGAGAGAGATAGAAACATCAATCAGCTGCCTCCTACATGCCCCCTACTGGAGATGGAGCCCACAACCCGGACATGTGCCCTGACCGGGACCTCTCAGTCGAAGGGACGACCCTCAATCCACTGAACCACACCGGCCAGGCAATGTTTTTTTAAATCTTTATTTTTATTGTTGACACTATTACCAATGTCCCCGTTTTCCTCCCCCCAGCCCCCGTCCCCCTTCCCTCTGTCCATCACCACACTGTTGTCTGTGTCTATCGGTTACTAATATAGATTTTTGGCTAATCTCTTCACCTTGTTTCATCCAGTCTCACCGCCCCCTCCCCTCTGACAGTGAGGTGTCAGTCTGGTCCATGAATCCAAGCCTCTGTTCCTATTATGGAGTGGTGGAAAAGGATTTTTTACATCCATAAAAATTTGCTGAACTCATTTAACAAACTCATTCAAAACCTCTACATTTCATTAAATGTAAATTATACCTTTGAAATGGTAAAATTCATTGACTGCATATAATAGCCACACACACAAAGAAACGCATAAAAACAAATACCTTTGTCCACCTGCAAAGCTTCACCCCAGAATGGCTCCCAATCAACTGATAACCTAGACAGAAAAACAGGGAACACAAAACTGAATTGATTCAAAGCCTTACATTAAGAGGTGCTTAGAAAAAAAAAAAAAAAAAGCAAACACTTTTTTCTTTGTTTATATAATGGTAGACAACAACCCAGTGGCAGAAAACAATAACAGTTTTTATCACTAGGATGATAAAACCATTTAAAATGTGAATGCATCTAATACAATACACTCAAAAAGAAATAATAAGTTAATCCAAAATCATAGGGAGAGATTTTAACATCTAAGAGATCTCATAGACCAAATTCAGTAGAGCTCTAAGATCTGAGCAGAGCAACACAGCAAACGCAATCAAGGTCACACAGCACTGCACTGAACTACTGAAATGCTTTTCGAAGACACAAGGAACATCTATAAAAATGAACCATAGCCCTGGCTGGTTTGGCTCAGCAGTTAGAGCCTCGCCCCACGGATCAAAGAGTCTGGGGTTTGATTCTGGTCAAGGGCACATACCTCGGTTGGGGTTCGTTCCCCAGCCCTTGTCGGAGTCATGTGGGAGGCAACCAATCAATGTATCTCTCTCACATCAGTGTTTCTCTCTGTCTCTCTCTCTCTCTCTCTCTTTCTCTCTCTCTCTCCTCCTCTCTCTTTCTCTCCCTCCCACTCTATCTGAAGATAAATGGAAAAAGATCCTCTGAGGATTTAAAAAAATCTGAGGATTTAAAAAAAAAAAAAAAATGAACCATATGCTGGGCCATAAAGTAAAAGTAAGTAACAATATATGTGAAATGAAGAATCAGAGGGGCAACAGGAGATTAAAATAAAGAAGTATTGCCCAAAAACATGAATTCTCAGCACCATTCTACAACCTATCATTTAACATTTTTGAACCATGCAAGACATGAAAAGCATGGAAAAGTCGCCAAAGTAATCATATTTCCCTTTTTAACAAACTAGTAGAGCAAACAAGTAGAACATTCTGATTTCAGAAAACATTTATAAAGCTTCTCAGGAGGCTTCAAGTAATAAGCCATAATTATCACAAGTCTTGTACACAAAAAGACTCTTGACTTCTAGACAAATTAGGTAAATGGAGAAATACAATCTGGATGCTGGCATAAGTGGACCAGTAGCTGGTTAAACATCCATATTCACAGTGTGTTGACTAATGGAACAATATCAATTTGGATTATAAGTCTGTAGTGGCAACATTACAAGGCTTTGTCTTTTATCCTCTTCCACATTTATGTAAACATCCTGAATATAAATAAACAAAGCACTGCTTATCTAGTTGAAGATGAATCCAAGTCCAACTGAATAGCTAATCTCAGATGGAAAATAAACACTTAAAAGATTCCCAGAGAAAATTCTAGTTCTTCTTTTGGATTCCTACTTTATGTATTGTTCATATGACTATTATAGAAACCACACTCTATATTACATTAGTTCTTTATATCGTTCTCTCCCAAGATATATAGGGTTCTACAAACTTCTGCATTTAAATAGGTATGAAAACAACTGCACAGTGCAGAAAAGAGAAACCTGTGGCTGGCTACAACGCCAAGATAAGCCAACAGTATGCAGCTGCTGAAAATCATAGGGCAGAACTCTGCTTCTAAACAAGATGGAGTAACAGATGGTTTACTCTCCCACCTGAAATACCAAAAAATGGACGAAATATACAAAACAACAGTTTTCAAGATAAGAAACATCAGGCAGTAAAGAATGCTGATCCCAGAGAGATCAGAACCAAACAAGGTGAACCGAGTTTCCAGGCCCTGCAGCAAGGAGGCAACCCAGGTAAAGCTCAGTGTTCTCCTTTAGTCAAAGACATGGAAGTGAGAGTGTGAGGAGCCACATGGCTAGAATTAGTAGGACTGAGTACATGAGAGACAAGAGCTATACAAAAATTGAACTCAAGAGTCTGCAGAGGATTCATATAAGTATTTGCCTGAGCACTGCTTAGTGCATATGTGAAAGGAAAACTACGTAAGAATGGGGAAGAAGCATCTGACAGGATTGCAGGTATGCCTGGTGCTCACAGCCAGCTGAAAACTATGCCTGTTCCTGCCAGACAGAAAAACCTCAAGATTCACATGGCACTGGGCAGAGTACACAGGAGTATTTTGCCTCAGTAAGAGGAAATAATTAGTTGTATACTGAGCTGGGTCTGGTCTCACCTAACAAGTCATAAAATATTAAAAAGCTCAAAACTGTTTCCTAGTAACTTATCTTGGAAAGTAACTTATCTTACTCCCAAAACAAAGCTCAAGAAAGTTTATAGAATTAGCATCTATACAGGTAAAATTAGATCTAGCATCCAATAAAAGATTACTAAGCATATAAACAGATAGGAAAACATGACCAATAATGAGGAAAACAATCCAGCAACCAAAACTGACCCAGAAATGCCCCACATATTAGCAGATTAGGACATTACAACAGTTATGTTCAAAATATTAAGTAGAGATATGGAAGATATAAAAAGACCTAACTAAACTTTAGAAATGAAAACTACAATGTCTAAGCTTAAAAAATGCACTGGATAGAATTAATGCAAGATTAGACATTAGGGAAGAAATTATCAGTATGTCAAATTTGGAGCCATATCAATACAAACTACCCAAAAATGTAAAGTGGGACAGAAAAAAAACAATTTTAAAAGATGAAAAGAGTGGTCCTGGCTAGTGTGGCTCAGTTGGTTGGGAGTCATCCCATACACCGGAGGGTTGCCAGTTCAATTCCCAGTCAGGGCACATGCCCAGGTTGCAGGGTCGATCCCCATAGGGGGCATGCAGGACGCAGCGATCAATGTTTTGCTTTCACATCGGTGTTTCTCTTTCTCTCTCTTTCTTTCTCTCTCTCTCTCCCCCCTTTCCCTTTCTCCCTCTCTAAAAATCAATAAAAATATATTTTTTAAAAAGATAAAAAGAGCCCTGGCCGGTTTTGTTCAGTGGTTAGAGAGTCGGCCTGCAGTCCAGAGAGACCTGGGTTCAGTTCCCACTAAGGGCACGTACTTCGGTTGCAGTTTGTTCCCGGCCCTGGTTGGGTCGTGCGGGTGGCAGCCACTCGATATGTCCCTTTCACGTCGATGTCTCTCCCTCTCTCTCTCTCTTCCTCTCTCTCCCTCCAGCTCTGTCTAAATTTAAAAAAAGAAAGAAAAAGAAAAAATATCCTCGGGTGAGGATAAAAAAAAAGATAAAAAGAGCATCAGTGAGCTGTGGGTCAATTTCAAGTGGCCTATGATAGATGTAATTGGAATCCCCAAGGAAGAGGAGAGGAAAGAGGTGACAAAAAAAAAATATTTGAAGAAATAATAGGCAAAATTTGTATAATTTAACTAAAACTATAAATCCATAGAACCAGGAAGTTCAATAAATCACAAGTGAAAGAAACATGAAGAAAACAACATTGAGATGCATTACAATTAAATTGTTCAAAATCAATAATTAAGAAAAAAATTTACAAGTAGCCAGGGGATAAAAAACATTACATTCACAGTTCAAACCAAAGATGACTGCAGAGCTCTCATCAGAAGCAATGTAAACAGTGGAACAACACAACAGAAAAAGAAAGTTGTCAACCTACAATTCTATATCCATAAAAAAATACCCTTCAAAAATGAAAGCAAAATAAAGTCTTTTTGAGATATACAAAAGCTGAAATAATTCATCACCAACAAATCCACACCACAAGAAATGCTAAAATAAGTCCGTCAGGGAAGGCTATCAGAGAGAGAACTCAGATCTATGCAAAAGAATGAAAAGCATCAAAAGTGGTAACTACATAAGGCAATATATAAATTGTTTCTAACTATTTAAATATTTAATAGATAACTGACTAAACCAAAATAAATAATAACAATGTAGTACAGGGTTTATAACATATGTAAAAAGTAAAATGTATGATACCAATTGCATAGCGGTTGAGAAGGAGAAACTAGAAGTATACTATTAAAGGTTGCTCTACTAGACATGAAGTAGTATACCACCACACAAAGACATACTATGATATAATAGAGAGATACAGCATAAAACCCCAAGCAACCACTAAATAACAAAACAGTGCAATAGCTAATAATCCAATTAAGGGTGCAAGCCAGAATTATAAAAAAGATAAATCTAAAAGGCAGAATAACAAGAAAAAGAAAGTCAAAGAACACAAGACAAGCAGAAAACAAATAGCAACATGACAGATTTAAACCTACCATAGGGAACCGAAAAATGGCGGCGAAGTGAACGGAGCTACACAGACCATCTCCCAGAACCAAACTGGAATTACAACTATAACACAGACAAATCGACGGGAAAAACCAACAGAAAAGCAGCTTGCGATGACCATACAACGAGGGACACCGACTCGATCCTGGTAGGCTTGCGAAGGCGCGAGACGGGGCTGGGAGCCCACGGTCGGCAGCTCGGCAGCGGCCTTAGCTATAAGCGGCGCCCTCGGGTTACACTCCCAGGCGGCCCCACAGCGCAGCCGGGACAGAGGCTGAAACAGCCACAGCCACTCACCTTGGGCTCCGGCGGAGGGAGGGCAGACTGGTCTGGAACTGTGTCCGGACACTCGGGGTTTGGAGGGCGCTCAGAGCTTTGGCTGAGTGCAGCCATTCAAGACGGTGGCCACATTGCTCCTTCCCAGGGCTCTGAGGAGAGGCAGCAGCCCCTCCCTCGGAGATCCAAACCCACCCTGTGGGCCATTGAAGTGCTAATTGAGGCTCACTAACAACCAGCATCTGCCCCACCCTCCTGAAAGCCCCTTGGCTGAGCACCAGAGGGAGTTTTTCAATCAACTGACAACCCAAAACTCATCAATTAACCTAGACTGCTAGCCTCCAGGCAAAAAGCTAGAGGATAACAGTACGTTTCCTGGGCTGGCAACTTTAACCAGGAAAAGTAAGACTTAACAGTGGTGTTCAACGTGGGTCCTCCCTCGCTCATCTAAACACAGGAGAGGGAGCCACAAACAGCAGAACACCCACAGGGAGAACTTGACAGGCTCCAAAGCCCACAGTGATAGCCAAA